TTCCTGATGTGGCCAGAGTCAGTCTGAATGTCAATTTAACCAGAATTATACTTTAAATAATATTGTTTCAAATTTTATCCATGAAATTAGATATCTAATGTTATGAAAAATTTCTTCAAAATGACCACATATGGATTCATTAAGGAGATCTTGCCCATGTGGGATCATGTTGAGATCATATACAGGGAACACCATTGGAAAATATGGTAAACTTAAGGAATCAGCACATATGCTGGCCACAAAAATCTCCTGAGCCGACCAAGCATAGAAATAAATACAATATGGGAACCAGTAATAAGGAGTGCCAGAGAAAAGCAATGATAACAAAGTTGCAATATGAACTCTGGTAAAGACATGCAATGATAACAGCAAAAATTGCAATATGAGCACTGGTAAAAAATGATGCTGAAAACATTAGGTTTATAATACAGAAGTTCATACCCAGATGTCCTCAAGGACACATGGCACAGTGGATAAAGGCGTTGGTTAGATCCAGTGACAGACCCAAAGAAGGTGAGTTCAATTCCTGGTTAAGGCAGTGGAAAGAACTTTCAGAGGAAAATTAGCAGGAGATAACTGATAACTGACATCCATCAAACATGGCACGTGGAATTAGAACAGTCTACCCCAGTGATCGAAATAAAGGGTTCAGTTCGAAATTCCAACCACCTGAAGAAGGCCGGAGCGTACAACGGCCGAAACGTTGTGACAAATATGGCGACAATATGGCGACAAAGATGAGGACAATAGTCCGACTAATGTAAATACTGTAATAATACCTCATCTCAGAAATATAGATAAAATTATGAGGTTCTATGAAAATGTAAATTGGTAAAAATCATGTTGTTATAAATTAATTCATTTATTTTTTTTCAATTTGAATTTTCGTTGCATTTTTTCAGGGCATATATTGGCCCACTTTGATATTCAATGTTTTATAAAAATTGGGTGCCATTACTAAAACTTGATAGATAATGGTCAATTGTTTTTCGATATTTATCACAGAATTGCATTTTGGGAAAAAACACAATTGTTTTATAATCCTTGATAATTTTTTTTATTACAAGTCCCGTAATAAGCAAGAATAAAACATTCGATTTCAAAAATTAACCCAAACAAGTATCACGCAGTCATTGATGGGCACGGTGTTTGTACTGCAGATTATTAAATATGAATTTTTATATCTTGCAATCGTTTCCTTATGTCTGGTCATTTACCAAAAATTTCGTTTTTAAAAAATTTATTTTTCAGTTTTCAAAGTGTATTAAAATATTTTACTTGCATTTAATTTCATCCATTTCAAACTAAAACTTATTATTATTATTATTTTATTTTCTTTTGATTTCTGGCGTTTTTATATTTCGGTTTATTTTAAAAGGGACGTAAGGTTAGAAATGGCATCAATATTTTTACAATTTGCAAAAAAAAAAATTACATAGACAGAATATTCGTAAGGTGTAGGCTGAAACTTGGTGAAAACAATTTTTTGTATTTCAATTCATTTACATAATTTAAATGGTAAAGGGAAATCCCTTCAATTAGTCCCCTGAATCTTTTCCAATTCAACCAAATATATTAATTTCATGACTACAACAGGGAATGTTGATGTTCCAAAAAATGTTGCCACATTTATTAAGAAATTTTGTTCTTTTTTTTTTATTTTATTTCTTCTTTTCCTTTACTTTTATGTTTCCTTTCTCTGTTGTCTGACATTCTGTGTTGTTCAGTGTGCCCAGACGCAATGGAAAACAGAGCGAGCAATAAATGATCGGTATTAATTAAGAACATTTGAAGGAAATAATTCTAAAAATGATTTTTGGGATAAAAAACAAAAATCTAAACGTCTGCAGATTATTTGAAAGGCTCCGTTTTAAATTCCCTGAACGTTAGCCGGATCGACAAACACCCGAAGACAAAATAGCTGAAAAGTTACGAAAATAACAACAAAGATGAGGACAATCGTTCGCATGTTAATAATTCGTTTTTTTTTTTCATTTCCTTCTTTTTTTTTCCTTCTTTCTTTTTGTTTCTTTTTCTTTCTTTTATTTTGTCTTTATTCGTTTTCTTTATTTTGTTTTCCTTTTCTGTTTTGTTACAGTCTTTGTATTCAAATGAATGAAACTATTCCACCCTGATAGGCAAAGTATTTACTTCGCTGGATCGTAAAGGATAATACACGGGGTAATGTACCCAATCCCAGTTCTATTAATTAATATGGCGCAGGTTATGCTAGGTCATTCAATGAATTTAAATTTGCATATATTTTTACAATTTAAATATTGCTAAATATTAAATTCCTTTATTATGGTAACCCAGTGTTTGCTAGTTTCGAATAGTACCAAGCGTCCCATGTGTCCTAATGACAATGGATTTTCTAATTATTTACTAGCAATGAGACCGTGTTACAAAAAAATATCAACCGACTAGCAACACTACTGTTAAGGGTAAAGAGGAGAACGAACATCTCATTATAAAAATATTTGCCGGTTATCTCCCTTTACGCATCATTCTCTAATAAGAAGATAGATTTTTTTTAATGTTTCTTATAAGAATGCATATAGATATTTGTATATCTGTGTCAAATGTTACAGCGATGGGAAAATGGCAACAGAAAACCAGTATCCAATTCCAGCCAATAATTCATAGTCCCCTTGATGCTTGTGTCATATTCCATTGTCAGACAGATCGGCAGCAACCTCGTCATTGACATAACGCGAGATTTGATGAGATTTGATGAGAACAAGTTCTGTCAAGTCTGTGATTATAACCATGTGTAAATATTAGTGTATTCGGGAAATATTTCACCTCAATGATTTATTATTAGTCAACCAACAAAGTAAGGCAGACCCAAACTTGAATGGTACGAAACTGCGTCTAAATTTAATTTATAAACTATTCTATCCTACAGTGTGTCGTTCATAATGCATTGTAATGTTTCAATCCATGGAGGATTACGAGGTCCCTTCAAAAGGCATTGGGACTAGTGCTATAAAAAGAAAACTACAACACATATCAATTCGAGATTTAATCTCATTTGAAGTAGTCTCCTCCCGATCAATTCCCTTTATACCATTAATAAACGCATATACATTCTCTTGGATTTTCTCGACGTCATTTCAAGTGGGATTTGATTTTTAAATATGAAAAGGCCGCAGGGTGGGGGGGTGAGATCTAATTAATACGGAGGTTGTCTGAACTGAAGGATTATTGTACTTGGCCTTAAACTAATGAATAAGCCATGGTCACTGACGAAACCCCTGTGGTATGGTTAGACGACCACACTCTACACACGTTCCTTCCAATCACTGCTATAAACAGCGGAAGCGAACATAGACGTTATAATTTAGTGTGTACGCGAGACAGAGTTCGGGGTCAATAAGCGGCTTTATTATGCGTAATTTAGCTCCATTACCAGAGAAACACATCCGGATAATTTTTTATCAGATTTCGTATAAATTGAAAAGGCAACATATTCACTACCATTTACTGTATGGATTCTGAAGTGGTACAGAGGCATTAAATCATCTGTACCATGCATATGTACACAGTGAAGCTTTGGACATGCTATGCTGACATATTCGACAATCCTTATTCTGGAAAAAGAAATATCGAAAAAGGGTATTGAATTGAACTCACACGAAAACATCGACAATTTGGTGCAAACTCTTACCTTGTAATATTCAACTATATACAAATATATCAAGAGTTTCGTATAAAACTTGAAAGTATGGAATTTGGGTCCCCTATGAGCTGTCGCTTGGGAAACAATGATAATGATCCATAAGCGTTTTGACCAGAAATCTCATACATTCATTTGTGCATTGCACTGTTACAGGTGATGAAAATAAGATTTTTGTATGTCAAGAGAAAACGAAAAAGGCAAAATTTTATCAAGAAGAATCATGGGATTCTTGACAAAATTCAAAAAAGGGTTTGTAATGTAATCGATCCTGATCTGGCATCTCGGCTTCAATCACTTTCTCACCGCCATGGCGTGGCTTCCCTCTGTCTTTTCTACAAATATTTTCATGGCAACTGCTCTGATGAGCTTTTTTCCCTTCTACGCCGACTACATGAGTTTAAACGTGCTACTAGATTGGCAACTAGGTCTCACTGTTTTACTGTTGAACTATCTAAATGCAACCGCCACTTCTACGCCATCAGCTTCTCTTCTCGCACTTCTCTCCTGTGAAACTCCCTTCTGATTTCTTGCTTCCCCGACAATTACATGTTAAAACATTTAAATGCAACGTCAATCGCCATCTTCTGCTTTTTGAACGCTGTTCCATTTTTGTCCTTTCCTCAATCATCACCACTGAAGTCTTCTCATTCTCTTTCACTCCCTGTAACCCTCTGCGTCTTAGTGGCATTACCGCCTTGCTTGAGGGTGGAACAATTAAAACAATATATTGTAAACAAGTGAGATCACCCCCTCACAAAAAACACACACACACACAAAAAAAAAAAGAACCGTCCACTAAAAAAACTGAAATACTCTGTGTTTGACGGAATATGAAAAGTGCCATCCATTACGAACTCTTTGAACATGAAATCGCTGAAAGCGTCTCTTTGTCGGGTAAATGAAGAATTATGTCGAACATTTTCTTATTTTTAAGCAGAAAATTCATTATTCTTCGGTTTGACAATACAGTGTGCATTGTGCACGACGACCAGATAAGATTGTTAGGAAAGGCGGATCATCTGCCATACATAAAAGAATTAACACCTGCGGATTTACATTTGTTTCGATCAATAGATCAATCCCATCAATGACAGAAAATTCGAGAACAAAAAAATTAAAAACAGTCTTTCAAACTTTCATGGGTGGAAAAAATGGTAACAGATTTCTTCAAATGTAGAATTAAATATTTACTTTCATGTTCAACTGCAGTCGTTCAAAAAATATGATTACACTATTTTATATTTAGACAAACTCAGTTTATATTCGTTTATTATTTTTCTGAAAACGGAATTATTGCAGAATATCATTTAATACCTATTTCCCGTAAGATCACCGAAGTTAAGCAACCTCGAGCCTGGTCAGTACCTAGATGGTTCACCGTTTGGGAATACCAGTGCAGTAAACTTGGATGTGCGGGTGGTGCAATGGATAATGGCTCTGGATTGGACATCGGAGAGCCGAGTTCCAATTCCCGTTGGGTTCGTTATATTCACTTACACCCAAATACCCTTGGGAAAGGTATGAATCCAACTCTTCTCCACCACCTCTGAAGCCACTTGACTCAAATTGACCCAGTTGGGCATGCTAATTTCTTGCTCATTTCCGTTGTTTACAGTAGTGGCTGGAAGGAAAGTGTGCAGAGTGTGGTCGTATCGCAACACAAGGGAGGTTCTATCAGTAACCAAGGCTTGTGCAGCAACTTTTGGCTAAAGACAATATTCCTTAGTTTCGATAACAAGAATATTCCGCGGATCTCGCCCCGTGCAACTTTTTCTTCTTCAAAAATCAAATCCTACTTAAAAGGAACAAGATTTCAAAACGTCGATGCAATCCAAGAAAATGGCACGAGGCAGCTGATCGTTATCCTAAAAAAAAAAGAGTTCCAGAAATGCTTCCATCAATGAAAGCGACGCTGAATAAACTATGTGGCTTCAAAAGGAGACTACTTCGAAGGAGATTAAATGACGAATCGATATATGTTGTAGTTTTCTTTTTATAGCACCAGTCCCGATACGTTTTGTTCACATATCGTATACAATTATCTATCTTGTTAGATAATCAGTAATTACAAAGAATACAATTAAAAATTCACCGTGAAAACCATTTTTAACTTTAAAAGGCAGTAAAAGAGATTTATAAAAGAAAATTCAAAAAGAAAAAAAAACAGCATATAGGTTTGAGGAAAAACAAGGAAAACATTTTTTGAAGAAAAAAACAAAAAAACAAATAAATACTACAGCCAGAATTATCAAATTCCTTGACACTGACATCAAACAAATATTAGGTTGGTGCAAAAATAATGACGTAATAATGTCGTTTTTTGACGTATTTTTTAACGTCAAAAAAAAGAATCGATTAAGTTAACTGCCCTTGATTAACGTTCGCTGTTAATAACAAAAATGATCGTCAGGCAATTGACTTCAGAAGCCAGATTCGTTGTTCATCCATCAGGAGATAGACGACATCAGAACAATTTATTTTCATGCTTAGATTTAGAGATCACTTCCCGTCTTTTATTTAACTATCAACTCAGATCAGGGAACACAATTATGTTTAATTTTTCTTCCACGCACAAATTACAGGTTTTTACCCCTCCATATTTATTGTCTTTCACGAGAATTAATTCTTTATTATAAAACAAAGCACCCAAACGCACAACCTAAATTAAACAAAATATCTTATGGCAGAGAACAGAATATATTAAAATGTCTTTAATAAAATAATTATATTTAAATTTAAAATTTACATCCATTTTATATAGTTACAAATCGTTCTTCTCATAACGTCACTTGTATACGCCACAGGTATAGTCAATTAATGTAATTAATTAGTATTGTTTAATTTAAAAAAAAACAGCACCTTTTACTTAAATGAATTGTATCTATAAAAATAACGTATAAACAGAAAATATATTAAATAATTGCCGTGCTTAATCCAATTCATTATATATTGTTATTGTTTACGCTAACATATATTTCGATATATGATCGTTCGAGAAAAGGCGTCGAAGGTGTATGTTTATAAACAGTAATTCGAATTTAACCAGACTCTCCCTTGTGGCTGAATGGTTAACAGCACCTCAGATCAATTGATTGTTCTCATTAAGGGTTACAGGATCGATTCCTGCCGGAAAAGCACATATTTTCTACGAAATATATATTGTGTATTTAGGCAACAATCCTTCATTTATGCATGTTTCATTAAAAACGACAGACAAGGTACTACGATTAAGCTTTTTATTTAATTTTTCTTGTGTTCGAACAATTGCTTTCTTTTTGGGACAGAGAGTGTGTAGAAACTGTCTAAATGCTCTATAATTCCGAGCGCTTTCGGCTATACTTTTAGCCATTATCAAGGATGGTTTTATTTTTCAGTTTAATTGCGTGTGCGCGTTATGTGTATGTTTTTAGTGCGTTAAAAGTATTTCCATATTTGCGATTTTTCACAGTTTTTTTTTTTTTTTTGCAATTTCTTGTGTGAAGCGGATGTGGCAGGAAAACTATCAAGCACTCTACATAAACCTCATAATATGAGCTACGTTTTGTATTAAGTGTAATAAACATCAGCTCATCCAGTAAAACATTTTGTTCGCGTGTAACTTTGCCTTGGTTTTTACAAAAGGTCTTACTCACCTTCGGTTTAATTTATCAAGTTTTCTGCCAATGCCGGGGAGGCTGGAGATTGAAACGTTGGTCTTGAATATGCGTGTTTAATTTCATCGAAATCGGTCGAGAAATGTGGACGTGCATAAATAGCATACACACACACAGACGCATAGACTGTGTTCATATAGATATTGTCTAGGTTTTATAGTAATTTTCCAAGCATAGCTTAGATGTGGCACAAAGCATCAAGTGAGGATAGAACTCACTTATCACAATTGATCTAGCGAGACAAGCTTGCTAACCATTACACCACGCCGAGGTGCCCTTGTCTAGGTTTTATTGCTGACAACTTGTGTCTTGAATATTTTTATATATATATATATATATATATATATATATATATATATATATATATATATATATATATATATATATATATATATATATATATATATATATATATATATATATATATATATATATATTATAAAAAAAATTAAATTTTATTTTAATTTTGCATAGGTCACATTTGATTGGTTAATCACGGCAAAGCCCACAAGTCTATTTTTTTTAAATATTCTGCTTTTTGAAATTAAATTAATCTTTCACTCGCCAGTAGTTTAATATCGCCCGAAGAGACACATTCCTGGTGTTGAAATATAATTTTATTAATTAGTTATTTAAGCTTCATCAGAATGTTTTGGAAATGTGTTTTGGAATAGAAAGTTGCGGTTCTTTTATTTCTGTGTTCTTTTTTTTTTTTTTTTTTTTTTGTTTTTTTCATTGGAGAGGCAGACCTCAAGTGTCTTTGACTTGTGGTGTTAAAAATCCCAGCCTAATTAAGAAAGAAAAATGCTTTACTACGAAGAAAATAATTGTACGGGATTCTAATAAATACTTTCTCATCGAAAATCGAATGCAAATAACACTTTTTCATACCAACTACTTTCATAAAATGCTACATGAAAAAGACACGTGAGGACTACTGGAACAAGGAAAAACATACAAGACAGAAATAAATGTAGCAGGACCGTCTCTTTCATAATTCATTTCGAAAATATTTCTGATGAAGCTTAAATAAAATCGAAACGTTAAATCTATGACCTTTCCGTATTTGTTCCTTAAACTATTACACACACACATATAAACACACATACGTACAAACACACTCAGACACATACAAACACACACAGACACATACAAACACACACACACACACATATATATGTAAGCAAATATATGGATATAGATCCGACAGTATGAAGAAAAATATACGGAAAAAACAAACAAAAATCCTAATATGCAATTATGCGGAACGCTGATCTTATAAAACTTTCAGTTATCTGTTTGGATAAGTCTCGTTCTTATGTCCATCATCTTTGTCATGTTGAATTGATAATGTTAATTATATTTTATGAATATGTCCTGAAGATGGTTTATTAGACCGAAACGTCCGACGTTGACATTATAATAACATTAAAACAGCATAATTGCATATAAGGATTTTTGTTTGTTTTTTCTGTATATTTTTCTTCACACACATATATATATATATAAATATTTAAAGATATTTTTGTAGGTACAAAATTTAATGATCGAAATAAAAGTATAAAACTTAATATTACGAGACATATTAAAAACGGGCGAAGCAACCGGTTTCGCTCCCACTCTTCAGGCTTCAACGGGAGATTTAATTTAAAATTAACACAGAAAAATGTACAATAAAAGGAAGTTGTGGGAGGACAAAAAAAAGCAAAAGAAACTAGAGGCAAATGAGCCTTCTTTGTGTAAACAACGTGAGTGTTTGTTGGGGCTCGCTGTCATTTGCCTCTAGTTCCTTTTCGATCATATATATATATATATATATATATATATATATATATATATATATATATATATATATATATCTGCTGATGAGTCCCAAATATAGGACGAAACGGCCGTCCAGTGCTTTCTGCTTTCTGTTGAGGTTTCTTTCAGACTCGATGAATTAATTAATTATAATTATCAAATCCTCCTAATAATTTTTATTACTTATATATATATATATATATATATATATATATATATATATATATATATATGGCCTGACAAATTATTATTACCACCGCCATATTTCAATAATAACATCTGTTCGTATTGTGTCAGCGATATATAAATTGATATATTTCAATAAATGTCAATTTCTTATGGTCAGAAGATTATGTGGGAATATTTCCAAGACCGCATAATCTACTGGATAATGTTCAGTTTCCATAAGTAACTCCTGACAATGGTCCGACAAGGTAATGTGCGCCTGATGCACTTGGATAATTAAACAGAGGCTTTTTTTTTCTGCCAAGTACGATACATCAAAAGAACTACTACGGCAAAAACTGCATATCGCTTTGTGTAAGTCGGCAGAAAAGCTGTGTTACAACACACATTTATCCTCATTTAGACGGAGTAACGATGCTAACAAAACTTTGATGTTGATAGCGTCTTTAACAGGCAAAGCGTGTGTTTAAATTGGACCTTTTACATATGGAAAGAAGTAGACTCGGTTGACGAGTTCATTTTTTATCTGAATTACGAGTATGACAGAGAGTAAATGTTGTTATTTTGGGGAAAAGATGACACAGTATTCGGTTTGCGGAAATAGCAAATTGGTGGAGTCAGTGTGATGATTTGTGTAACAGTCTATTGGGAAACATCGGGTCTTATAATTAATGTTGAAGGTTCCTTGTCACATAGCAACTACTTCGGCATCATTGAAGTCTAGGCACGTCCCTTTATGGTGTGAGTTGGCTACGATTTCAGTGGCATATTTGAGTCGAAAAATGCGTTTTGGAATGTGCGATGCAAGCCAAATTCATAAGGTTTTAATTACTTTGCGCATTTATAGGATTTATTGGACAAACAAATTAACTCTACAGAACGTCAATAAAGTAATAATTAAAGAACATAGATGAATAGATAGATATAAACAGGGTGAGACAGATAGAAACAGAATTGCATAGATAGTTAGATATGAAGAAAACTAAGATAAATACATAGATAGATAGATGTAAATAGGGTAAGATTTATAGATACATGCATAGATAGATAGATAGATAGATAGATAGATAGATAGATAGATAGATAGATAGATAGATAGAAAAAGAATAGATAGATGTAAATAAGGTGAGATAGATACACACATACGTATACTGTATATAGATTGAGATACGGTTAGATAGATAGATGTAAATAGGATGAGATAGATACATACATACATACATACATACATATAATATATATATATATATATATATAGAGAGAGAGAGAGAGAGAGAGATAGATAGATAGATAGATATAGATAGATAGATAGATTTTAGCTGACTTAATAGTGTTCAAAGTTAGGAAGCAACTAAACCAAATATTTATATGGGTCTTGTTTAATTGTCCAGCCCTTTTAATAATTACATGTTCCTTGCAGAAGAAATAGGTCAACATCAATTTCATCCTCATTTACTCCAACTTCGACAGCAAGGGTTCGTTAATTCTTTTGCCAGTTCATTTATCAGGGCCTCTTCCCCCGTTGAATAGTCAGTGAGTCTGATGTCGCAAAGACAGTTTTACATTTTTGTCGAATTCTTCTTTCAGGAACTTGACGGAAAAAAAGAAAGAAAGAAAAGGAATAAAATCCAGACTGAGAAAGCTAATAAATTGTGACATATCTCTCTGGACCTAATAAACTACAATCTGTCACAACGGGTGTTCAACTCGGAAAATGCTTACTAACGTTTCAGGTTAGGGACAAGGGTCATACCGGAAGCCATCAGCCGGACCGGAAGTTATCACTCACGAGCTTGGCAAGACAAAGAAATAAGTAGTTTCTATCTGACCCCTGGGGATTTTGGAGTGTCAGCAGGTTTCTTTCTTCTTTTTTTTTTATTTGTTTTTCTCGTCTCTCAACAGGAAGTCAAAGTATCGAATGGTAAGACATTGCGAATACTGGAAGAGAATCTGATTGATTTACCCGGGCAAATTTCAACGTTTTAAATTGTTTATTCACATGTTTAAACTCATTGATAATCGTAATAGTGAAAATAGCCGTCTCCTTATAAGGAAACATTCGGCATTAATTGACCGTCGGTTGAAATTTATAAAAACCTTCTCTTAAAATAGTTTTTTTCAGGAAAATAACATTCTCAAAACCAGTGGCTGTTATAGCTTTTTACACCATTGATGAAGGTTTCTTCAAAATCATTTTTTTTTTAAAGTATGTGGAATATCTAGATTATTTCATTATTTTCTCTTCGAGTTGCATGTACTATTTTAGTTGTTGCTGTTGCTGGTATTCTTCAATTGATTTGGTAAATTTTGTCAATTATGATTGTGTAGCGCCAGTCTATGAGATCGGATGAAAGTTAGTTGTCGTTAAGACTTACAAGACTCTTTCATTTTAAGCTATTTTAATCACTGATCTGAGAATACGGTTGCATCTGTATCTTAGACATTTCTGAACGAAACCGTTAATATTTTGATTTTGTAGCCAGCCATATCGGAGATACCAAAACTAAAAATAAAGTACAAAGTCTTGGAAGTGTTCTAACAGAGGACGGAAAGTACGACATTGAACTCCGAAAACTCATTGGGATGGCCAAAGACGCATTCCAAAAGTTAAACATAGATAGATAGATAGATAGATAGATAGATGCCTTATCGTGTATAAAAGAGCCAGACCAACTTCGTTTGAAAGAAAGAGTATTGAACAGTTATGTGATATATGTCGTAAGGACTCCTACAGATGGTAGTGAAAGAAAGCGAGAAGAAAAGACTAAACATCAATTGCAAGAAGGCAGAAAGCATGTTTGTTGACAAAAGAGACAGCCCAACATGTAGATTACAATTTGGAGACCCCAAGATCACACAAGTAGAACAATTTAAATATTTGAGAAATGTTTTAACAGCGGACAGAACGTGCGACACTGAAATCCGAAGGTATCGTGGAATAGCAAAAGATGACTTCCAAAAGCTTAGCGAGGCACACAGTTTATTATTGGTTTAAAAAAAAAAACAAGCAAACTATTAAAAAACAGAAATATCTCGTTAGAAACAAAGAAATGAGCACTTACCTGTTATGTTATACCCGTCCTTCTATATGGCAGTGAATGCGAGGCAGTCTCCTAAAAGATGAGGACAATTCCTCATTTTTAAGCCAACAGAAATGTGGCTCTACCGGAGAATGCTGAGGATACCGTGGACCGAACGTGTGACCAACGACCAGGTTTTAGAGAAAATGGAAACAAAAAGGAGATTTATAATTAACATCATGAAGAGAGAATTGAAAATTCTGGGACACATAATGAGGAAGGAAGGCTTTGAAAATCTGATACTCACAGGACAGTTTGATGGAAATAGGAACAGAGGAAGACAGTGCATAACATATTTGACGAGCTCAAGTAAATGGATGGCGGAAAAGATTTTAGAATAAATAACAAAAAGATAAAGTTTAAGAGCTACAAAGGACAGGAAATTGTGAAGAGCTATAATCTCCTACGTCCCGAGGGGACGCGGCAAATAAAGAAGAAACAATTTGCATTTTTGGGTAAAACAACTCTAACACAGCCAATTCTTTAAGGTGTTGCAGTTTTTTGGATAGCGTTTTGTACTCGTGAGCCAACCAAAATGAGCTGACTCATTTTATAGTCCACCAAGAGAAGGTTTAACCAATCAGAAAGCTCAAAATATTCAATCCGACGTGTATAAAGGCAGCCATTTTGTTTTTTCTCCCAAAATATCTTCACTGCTAACCTCTGATATCGAAGACCTAAAGAATTACTTAACAGCTGCTACTTTCTCCGAATCACCACTGCCAACCTCTGATATTGAACACATTACGTACTTCACTGGATTCTATATTCAAATATATTCGGCAAAAATGGTCAACATAAGGTGCCGCAGAAATATCTCCCACATTTTTAAACTACCACCTGTGTGGTGCTAGTTAAGTTAGACAAGTGGCAATACTGTTTTCATCTAGTTAATGTCTAACCATTTCTTCAGATACTATCAGAAACGATCATGGTTTGGACTGGTTCACACTGTGCGTTTGCTCTTGAAACGTTTTTTTTTTTTTAACTGATGAATATGTAATTGCAACACTTTGGCCGATATAAAGAAAGATTCTTAGAAAGAATCAATGCTTGCATAGATAAAAATATATGAAATTTTTTGCCGTCATGAAAGAAACGTTATTAGATAGAATCGATTTTTGTATATATAAAAATATTTTAAAATTTTAGCCGACATAAAAGAAACATTCTACGAAACAATCGACTTTTGTATGTATAAAAACATTAAAATTTTGGCCAACATAAAAGAAACATTCTTAGAAATAATCGGCTTTTATATGTATAAAAAACATTTAAATTTTGGCCGACATAAAGAAAACATTCTTAGAAACAATTGATTTTTGTATATATAAAGAAATATATCAAAAATACAGGAGAAAATTTTTCATGATCCTTTCCTACAAGTTTGGAAAAATTGTAAATTTTCTAAAATCTGTGCTAGCCAAAAAGTCAGCCTAACGTTTATACAGCCGGATCTATACATAGGTTTACCTACATTTTTTTAGAAATCTGTGATACCCATACCGTGGGTCACCTATTTATAAAAAAAACATGATGTCCATATTGTTGACCTTCCTCTGAACAGACACGAATAGAATTTTTGGTTGTTCCGGTTTATTTTCATTTGCCTTCCAAGTTTATTTGCCTTCAGAGACACACCCGGCTTAGAATTCAAAGTGGACGTGCAGGGTAGAGAATTACAATCCTTGTTTCGGGATTATTTATTCATTATTTGAAATACGCAAACCACGCCCTGTGAAGAAGAAGTAACCAAGAAACAACTTCACAGAATTTTTTTTGTCTCTCTTCCAAAAATTGCGCACGAACATGCGCGCACCACACCTCCCCAACCGCGAACCATTTTATGGATCACGTGCCTAGCACCCTCGAGAAATATTTCCAAATTGTGGCAAAACAAGTGGTACTGGTCGTCTGTCCGCATTCAGTATTTCCCAAAAGACAAACATTTGTACACGTTCACGTACGAAATTTCCAAGTTTTGATACGCAGATCAGAGGAGTCCTTCGCTGACGAGCAGCATAGGAAGTTTTATGTATTCATGTTATACTTTTTGCAGAAGATTATTGGAAGGAAGTTTTGCGTGAAGACTGGAAAAACGTTAGCTCTATTAATATTGGCTTAGGATGAATTTTAATTTTAGTTAATACTAAAGTTATGCTGAGGAGACTGTAATTACAGTTCCTGGGAGAGAGCGCATTATCTCGGGTGATCATCAAAGCCGGTACTTTCAAGCCCTCGGTCATGATGACTTGTCATTTCGTGCTAGCACACCCATCGATAGCTCCTAAATAGTCCCGTTTACCTAATTTCACTCATAAGGCTTATTTCAACCTGCGGTATGGTTTTCAGGAATTTTCGGAAGATGCCACACCCTGGCTTGGCCTTCCCAAGCAGAGTAACATCAGGAAGTCACCTTCATGACAAAGTGACCATGATCTCCTGGTCGGAAAACGAATCTTCTAACCACTCGGTCACAGTATATATATATATATATATATATATATATATATATATATATATATATATATATATATATATATATATATATATTGTTGTAAGCTAGGAAAGGTTACTGAATGAGGAATAAGCAAAGCGGAGGTTGAAATGTAATACTAATAATCTTATAAATATAAGCAGCTGACGATCCGCGTGGGCGAAACCTAGGTAGGTTTGTCTGGCTCTTTAGGTTTATATATATATATATATATATATATATATATATATATATATATATATATATATATATATATATATATATATATATATATCTTCTGTTATATATATATATATATATATATATATATATATCTTCTGCCTATATTTTTGAGATATGGTATTGTAACAATTTACAATATTCATATTATTCAGACTGTTGCCCTAATCTTTTATTGCCATATTCACGACGTTTAGGCAGTTGTACGGCTTTCTTCATGGAAATTAAGGTTCGTTTCGAAATGCCACCAAATACCCCTGTAGAATGGTGAAGCGTACAACAGCCGAAACCTCGTGAATATTTCAATAAAGATGAGAAGAACCGTCCGAACAATGTAAATAGTGTGTGTGTGTGCATATATATATATATATATATATATATATATATATATTTCTGATTGAATAAATTACAAAGATTATGTCTGGTTATTTTTATCATAATCCTTTTATATTCACGAATATTTTTCCGTATATTACAATATTAATATACAGAAAAAATATTCGTGAATATGAAAGGATTATGATAAACATAAATAGATATAATGCTTGCAATTTATTCAATCAGATATGCCTAATAGAGAATTCGCTGCCTAAAGACGCCCGCACACACGCACACACACACACACACACACACACACACACACACACACACACACACACATATATATATATATAAATATATATATAAATTATATTATATTATATATATATATAGCGTATTGGGGCAGCAGAACATTATTTTAAACGTATATTGTTAAAGATAACAGACAATGAATGTCTGTAATATTAGTTACATTTTGGTATTTCACTCGGGACAACTTGCTCGAACTTTATTATATTGGCAATGCAAACAGAAAATTCAACACAAAACATTACGTATATGTGTTCCGTATGCATGTCACACAATGCCAGAAATGAGACGGAAATCATACTGTGATTACAACAAGTTGACGTTGCCTCGGGGTACAACAATTGGGTGCGGAAGAAATACATCAGGACTCAATATATATTCCAAATGTTGGTACTGAAAAGTTATCCGCGCGACATAAACAAAAAACCAACAGTTTGGTTTGTTTGTTAGCGGCATTTTTCTTTTTTTTTTTTTTTTTTTTACAGTAAAGATTACCTTGTACAAATCCTGGGGTCACTGTTACGTTAAGAGGTTAGAAGATAAATGTTAACTCTAGACTTGAACAAGTTAAAGTAGTAATAATCTGGGAGACATCCTCTTCGTAGCCTGTTCCACAGGGCAGTGGTTCGCGAGAAGAAGCTGTTTGAGTGGAATTTACTTTTCGCTAATGGAATACGGAAGGAATGTCGGTGAATTGCTATTATGTAAGTGGCATGGCGGGTCCTAGCCGTGAAGATTAAACCTGGCGCAACCAAGTAATATAGTCCGTCCTAGCAAATTCTATGGTAGTAGCAATAGAGCAGTGTCCCGTCTGTGAGAGATAGGTTAGAGGGTGGAATATAATTCCTCTCAGAAGACTGGCCGTTAATAAATACTTTCAGGGATCTATCTGTTAGGAAGGATTTTATAATTGAGAAAAACATTCCGTAGCTGGAGAGCTTGTGTAGCAAACCTCTGTGTCACACCTTGTGGAAGACCTTCGAGAAATCTAATACTAATAGCCTTCGAGGTGTCGACATGGGCCTCACTGAGTCTCTGTGTAATGAACATCAGCAGTGGATCGGTCAGGATTCTTGTGGATCTTGAAACACAATAGTCATTTGAACAATAGAACATCGTGGATCGATAGATGCTCAAACAGTGGTTCGTCGTGGATACTGAGACACAATAAACGTTCAGCGTATAGACCATCGCGGATCTTGAGAGGCAATAGACGTTCAAAGCATGGATCAACGCAGATATTGATGAGCAATAGACGTTCACATCATGGATCCTTCTGGGTCTTGAGACGCAATACCCACTCAAAGTATGGATTCGTGTCGATCTTTAAACACAAGAGACGTTCAAAATGGAGCCTCGCAGATATTAAGAGCTAATAAACGTTCAAATCATGGATCCTCATAGATCTTGAGATTAGTCAGACGTACAAACAATGGATCCATGTGGATCTTAGAACCTAATAGACGTTCAATGCATGGATCTTCGTGAATTGCCAATATATCTTTAACAGACAGGAGTCTACAAAAGCTACAAAAAACTACATTCTGTCCCACAATGACTGTAATCCTCATGTATAACACGCATTTTTTCTAAAAAATAATAAGCAAAATCAGGAATGCGTATTATATACAGCTACAAAAAATCTTTTAAAAATTGCCGTAAACTAAAATAAGAATTATCATGAAACTAAGTTAGAATAATATTATTCTGTCTTTTGAAATCTTTTTTTTTTTAAATAAGAGTAGAAAAA